TTGGTTCAGGTTCTGAAAGCAGGAAGGAATTCTTCTGCCAGCTCTCTCAAAAACTCCAGAATAAATGGATAAATGCTTCCACTAACATGCAGAAACAGTTGAAAAACTGTATTGTTTCTTGCTTGGTACATTGAATTTTTCAGCTGTGGAAGATAAGTCGCAGCAAACTGAATAAACTAATAAAGCTAAAGCAATCTGTTTACAATCAAACACTATATTAGTACCATGCTCTGGGAAACCGACTGCAAATGTTTGTCAAATGTAATCAAATTTACAGGTATAAAGGCAAAGCAGCTCAGCTGGGATTGAAGCTACTAGATTTTGAAGTCATGCTGTATGAGATTGTAAGGGGTTTCAGGTGGACACCCCTGGCTCAGGCCCACAGGTGGCAGTCAGCCATTGTCACATAACTCTGCTGTTACAACGGTTCCACTGGCTGCCTATCTGAGTCCGGGTACAATTCAAGGTGTTGGTTTTAAGCTGTGAAGCCCTAAACAGCTTAAGTCTAAGCTATATCAAAGACCACATCTCCCTTTATGAGCCTGCCTGGGTGTTAAGATAATCATAGGAGGCCTTTCCCTCCGTCCCACCACACTCACGGGCATGTTTGGTGGGGACATGGGAGAGAGTCTTCTCTGCTGCTGCTCCCAAACTCTGGAACTCCCTCCTGAAGGAGGCCAGTCTTGCCCCATCTTTGCTCTCCTTCCACAAGCAGACCTGTCTCTTCAGACAGGCTTTCCCTGAGTGACTGGATCTGAGAGGGGTTTTAAATGGAGTGTCATACCTTGTTGCTTTGAATGTGTTTTTCATGTAGATTTTATCATTTTTAATGTGGCATTTTTTATTCTTTTTAATATTTGTATACTTACTGTTTTTAGCTTTTAAATATTTCCTTTTAATGATGTACGCTACCTTGGGTTCTTTTTAAGAAGGAAGGCTGGGAAAATATTTTAAATGAATAAACAAATTCTGCATGCTTTCAGAGTTTTAACAACTGCCCCGCAGAACCTTTGTTCATATAGCAAACAAGAGCTCAGTATTCATCATCTCTAGATTTACTAGGTGGCCTAAGACATATCTCAACCTTTATTTCCTATCTGGAAATGTAAATAACTGTAAACAGTGAATAACTATGAGAATAAATTTTATACATAATTGTCGTTGCTTCTCAAATTTACTGATAGGATGGGCTATGATTCTAAACAAGTGAAACATATTTTGCTGTGAGGGTTTGGAGGCAGATTGCAATGTGTCTCACTTATTCTATGACTCAGCCAACCATTAATGACTACTTTACTTGAAATAGCTCATGATTTTGGATAGATGTACTTTAGAAAGCTGTTAATCCTTATTCAGTGTTAAAACTACACATATTTATGTTAATTAGCTTTGTTGTTGCAGTTTGTTTTGTTTGAAATGTTCTGGAAAAGCAGGCAATCTGCCTTTGAAAACAGTACTTCCCATTGTTTACATTTAACCGGAATGCCATTTTCAGGTATTAGGAGTCAAAAGATCAGGAAAGCCTACATGGATGCAGTCTCGGAATCAACAAACCATTTCCAAATGCAAAATATTAAAGGCTTTACTATGTACCTGCTTTTTAAAAGTCTTCTAATTGCTTTGAATTATTCAAAACAAATTTGAGATGACATCGGGTGGAACAGGACAACTGAATTATCCCACCCTGAACTGGTCTAGAGTGTGCTAAATATCCACCCTTCAAGGTTCCGTGTGCCATTTAGGGTGATCCTTGAATCTTTGTGCAAGGGAAAGAAAACAGCAACAACAACAAAACCCTTCCTGTCTCTTGCACAGTGTTTTGCCCAAGCTGTTTAACAATCTTGAGAAATGGGAAGCATTGCTTCCCCTCTGGAGAAGGGAAATGAAGCTTTCCATTTCTTTTTGTGTGTTGCTGGCTGAAATAGTATATCAGCCCTTTCAAAGTAACAATAAATATTTTAGCAACAGTTAAAAAGAAATGCAAAATTTTCTTTTCCTTCCTCTCTGCAGATGAGTAGAAAGGAAGCTTTCCATTTCTCAAGAATGTTAAGTTAGTTGTTGTGGGTTTTTCGGGCTCTTTGGCCATGTTCTGAAGGTAGTTCTTCCTGACGTTTTGCCAGTCTCTGTGACCGGCATCTTCAGAGGACTGGAGTAGGAACTCTGTCCATGCTCTGTTGCTGTTTGTTGGATAGTTGAGTATTTCTAGCTGTTTGTCCTTTTCAGGGGATAGGGTGATGATGGTGATTCTGTTGCTGTTTGTTGGATAGTTGAGTATTTCTAGCTGTTTGTCCTTTTCAGGAGACGATGGTGATCAGCCCGAAAAACCCACAACAACTATCTATCAAATCTTGGACGTGAAAACCTTCAATAATGTTACATTACTTCAGCAAAGGACAGGCAGCCACTTTGTTTCAATCCAACAATTAAACATGCTGGAAGTGAATCAAAATCCTGTCGCACCAAAAAAGCACCCCTGACAAGAACCCAAAAAGAGAGAGTAGGCATCAATCAGAGGCAGTTCCTGGCACATACATCGTGAGGTCGCCAGGATAAAGTGCAAATCAGCCCATTCCCAACTAGACCAAACCATGGGGCAAATGCCCATCTGATTGCACCCATACATAGAAAACTTAGCACAATGATTTGCCAAAATGATGAAGCTCTTTTATGAAAACATCAAAATAGTTGGCAGTGTGACAAAGTCACACATCTCTTTTGCTCAGTGCTTAGGTATGTTACTTTTTGGAGTATACAGCTGTGGCCATGCTGCCTAGGGAATTCTGGAAGCTCTAGTTCCAAAAATACATTGTTTTTAGTTTATGTTTACTCTGTCCTAATATATTCTGAAAAAGAGTACCATATTTTTCCATGTGTAAGATGACCCAATGTATAAGACGACCCAATGTATAAGATGACCCCCACTTTTCCAACCCCAAATAAGAAAATTTGAACGCTGCTTTCCACCTCCACTTCCTAAGCCCAGCGTAAGCTGCAGAAGTGGAGGGGGAAAGCACTGATCTTAGGAAGTCGAGGGGTAAAGTGCTGTTCCTCCTCGCCTGCAAGCAGATTCGGAGTGCATGCACACCACGGGGCTTAGGAAATTGCTTCTTTACCCCTCCATTAAGGGCTTAGGAAATGGAGGGGTAAAGCAGCGATGAAAGGGATGCAGGATCAAAGGGTTGCAATCCTGCAGCCCTTTCATTGCTGCTTTACCCCTCCGTTTCCTAAGCCCCACAGTGTGCATGCACACCCTACTCTAGATCCTCTTGCAGACGAGGAGGAACAGCACCGGCTGCTTCAGAGCTGTGAAGCAGCGGCAGAAGCAGAAACGGAGGGGGTGAGTCCCGGCATGGAGATACCTGCAGTTCCCACTGATGAGCATAGGGTAGGCAGTTTTGCTACTGCACAGTTTTCTCCTTAGCTTACTTCCGTCTAAAAGACAAGCCTCAATTTTTCCTCCAGTGATTATGCACAGTTTTCTCCTTAGCTTACTTCCGTGTAAAAGACAAGCCACAATTTTTCCTCCAGTGATTATAGGAGGAAAAATATGGTACTTTCCAGAGCTGTATTTACTTAGGAAGTGACTACATTGACAAATAACCTGGGAATTGTTCCAGGATTGACATGGTCAGATTTGCATTATTTTCCATTGATGACACAAGGTACAAGACAATGCAAAAGTCTCACTACCACCACCACCACCCCTACATTTTTAAGTCTGCTGCTGGGGACTTCTACTTCTTTTTCTGCAGCAAATGCATTCAAATCATCTCAGGAGGTGTGATCACTCATGCTGATGCATACAGTTTTATTTATCTACTGAGGGGTTTGCAGCTGTTCTACTTCAAGCCATTCCATCCAGCAACAAGGAAGGACAGTAGATAGAAAACTGGCTGCCATCTGAATCCTCTTTTCCTCAAACCTGAGAGTGAGGATAACATTGCTAATGGGCTTTTTTTACAGCTTGTTAAGGTAACTCTGATATAGTTGTGCCTCTTGCAGATTTGGACATCCACAGCAGAGGAACCTTAACCAGCTGCAAACAAGACTGAGTACTAATTTCCTCCACTCTCTCCACTGACTCCTATGTGGAAATTCATCTGGGAAATCTGAGTTCCCAGGTGCGACTTCACAGTGGATCTGTTTGCATGGGCTTCAGCAGTAGAACAGAATAAGAACTTTCCGCATTCTTTTCCTACCCCCATCTGGATTGGAATGGAGTTTGAAAATGAGTGAAGCTCTGCTCAAAAAATAACCAAGGAGATTTACCAAGACATGCCACATCATCTCTGAACCCTCAGAATATGCAAATATACCAGTTTAATTTTTGCCATGTTTGTCAGAATCCCACCAGCAGTCCTGTCATGTCTTGATTCTGTGTCTGATTGCAAGACTTTTCCCTTTCCATATGAAAGCTTTTACAGTTTCAAAATTAAAAAAGGTTTTCACATTTGTGCTATTTTTTAGACACACATTTTTATTTGACACATTTATTCACAGTCCAGTTTATTCAAAACCCATTGCAAATACTAGAAATACATGGATTTCCAAGGCAAAGCATGGTTCATCCTACAGGCACTCTCAGAAAATGCAAAATGAATATTTTTTGTAGGACAGAGTGGTGCCAGAATTGTCCCCCCTGTGCATCTTACTTACAAGGAACTCTTGCAAGTGCTAAACACTTGGAGGTGCCAGGGGGCTGGGGGCTGGACTCAGGAGCCCTTGTGGCCCATGGACTACTCCTGTTGTAGGGAAATGTGAGCTTCCTCCTACTCTCTCTTCTTGCTTCCCCCCCCCCAGAGTGAATAAAAGAGGGTTCTCTCTGCAATAAACCCGTTTCTTCCCCTATGTGCAGCAAGGGGGGGAGGAGCCTCCGTGTATTCACCTAAGCATTAAAATGAACAATGTATGCTATTGTTAATGTTGCCTGTGATTGCTGTATTATATTATGTTTTTACCTTATCAGCTATTATAATCAACTCATGTCTTTGCTCTTTTAGGACTCACAGTATGCCTCTACAGAACACAGCAATCAAAGTAAGAACAACCTTCATTTTGCAGTTGTGTTTAATGGGGATGTTATTTTATACCTACATAATAAATATACATATAAATATTATTTTTAATATGGATCTAGTACTTGGTGGAATATGGATGGAATAAGTTGTACTCATTCTGCTGCATTTTGAGAAAATGGGCTGAATTTTTAAATAATCTTGTTGACAGTCCTTTTCTAAAACAGTGGCAGCTGAATATGATGAATGCATTGCACCTTTCATCTTAATACTGCTGAAATTTTGGCTTCTTTTATTATCTGATGGGTATATAAACTTTAATATCACACAATACCCATGTATCAGATGCACTACACTATACATGCCAGTTTGGACTCTAAGGTGAATTTAAGGAAGATAATCTGTGACCCACCCACCAACTCCAAAAAGAAATGCTCTGAAGCATCAGGAACCCTTCTGAACAATGTGGGATAGGACGGGATGAGATGGCATAGAGAGAGTTTGAGGTTGTTGTTTTTAAAAACATAGAAACTTCTTCAAGATAACTTCCGCATCCAGTCTGGGGTAATTTCCTCTAACTCTGGAGCCATATATCTCATCCCTTATTTTTCAAGAGGGCAACCCAAGCTTTTAAGGAACATAAGAGGATGAGGGAACAGGAAATTTTCCTTTTGTAAACCTCTTATGATGTTAAATCCTGTATATATTTAACCTAGGAGCAAGTCCCACTGAGTTTAATAGATTTTATGTCTGAGTAGACATAAGATATATTCTTGCACTGTTAGGTTAACTAATTTTAAGAACAAGCAATTATATCCTAAGAGTCCATCATTTTTGGCACTCAAATTCATCACTATGCAGCCTCAAAATGGTGATTTCATGATGTTTAAATCTTGCCCAACATGTAACCTCTGTACTGGAATAAAAACAAACAAACTCTTATAAGATGAACTATTGGTTCTCTCCTCCAATTGGTGTTAATGTTGCCCTGCATATAAAAATATGTGGCTCTTAGCCTCCACATAACAAAAAGAGCACCACCGTCTTAAGCTGCATTGTATTAGATTTATGACCTCTACTGCGGCAGGTTCCACGATCTGCAAATTACAAGAGCTATATTTGACAGTGAACAATGCATCTGCGCCACTAGATATCCTTTGAAAATGACTGGTCACCTACTTAGTGAGGTGAGATGTATTCAGAAATGAAAATGTTAGGGGGCTTTTGGTTTAATACAGGATGGCATATTTGTAAGGGAAGATCAGGGATGAAAAGCAGTGTACGAATTTGTAGGATGAAACCAGCAAGTGCTTGGTAGTGTTGTGAAAGTCTAGGGGAATAATAAAATGGGAAAGCCAAATAATCAGTACAGTTGTAGTTATAGGAAGTATCTAGTGCTGAAGATGGAACACCATGGAAGAGGGACATCAGTAAATTGTTTTACACATGATTTGCTTCCAGTTAGAAACTTTGCATATATCCAAATTTTATTGTCATTGTTGTACTATCTGTACTTTAGAAAAACTCTAGTAAGTAGAAGGGGGGAAATGCTATGATCTTGAGAAGACTGTCAGTGCATATCAATGCTTTTGTCTTCTTCTGTAACACTATTTACTTTCACGCAGGCACACATGCACGCACACACACGCACACGCACACACAAACACACACACACACACTTAATTTTTAAACAACGCCACTTCCATCCACTTTAGAAACTTTAAATTTTAAAAACAGGCTATTTCAAAAACCTAGTATAGCAGTAGCTTCTAGTTGCTGCATATTTCATGAAAAATAAGGAAACCTGCAACTCATTTTCAGAATTCCTTCTCCAGCAGTTGAAGTATAATTGCCTGTCTCTTGAAATTACACTTTTATCTATAGACCACCACAGTGCTTTCTGTACAGCCTGAAATTATTAATGCAAATGGTCTCCTAGCAATAAGTGTTCCTCCTTCGTGAGGGAGATAACCAATAGAATATTCCAAATAGTAGAAGATAGGCTATACATGAAACGAACAAAGACATTGATGTACTAGTGGATATTGCCAGCTGCTTGTTGAAATTCATCCAGATAATTGGTAAAAAGTAGATGTAGTAAATCAAACAAGAGAAATACATACTGCAGGCATGTTTTCCTTCTGCATTCTGAGATGCAGTTTCTAATTACTGATTCCCATTCAGATTCTAATCTGTATTGAAATGTTTTGCATGTCATTTTTCCAAGGCATTTCACCTTCTGTGGCCACCCTAGACTTTGTGCTTCTCACTCTAGAGTTATCACCTTAACAGTGCCATTCTATACATGTCTAATCAAAAGTAAGCCCTTCGGACTTTAGTGGGACTTATTCCAGCTAAATGGGTATATAATTACAGCTTAACAACACTAAGTGACAGACCACTCACTTCACGAAAATTGATTATTCCTTGGTGTTTGCGCACTAGTTACAAATGCTGCTCGCAGGCATTTCCACTTGCTGCCACTAGTTCCCTACAAACTTTTAATTCTCTCAAAGCAGGATGTATTTTTCCAAAATGGCTTATAAGGGATGTGTCAAGCAGGTCTATGATCTCCCCTCTCCCCTGCCCATGATAGGAAAAAGAATAACTAATCTGGCTAGGCAGAAATCTTCCTTCACTATTGCCACTTTAAACCATTTATCAGGTGAGTTAGGATGTGCACTGCGTCTGAAGATTGCTGATAAAACCTGTGCTCAATTTTGGGGTGACTGAAATGCCAAATATACTCAGAAAGGGCTTTTTACCATCACATCAGCTTGAAAACTATGCAGAACTGTGGGGAAATGTGCAACCCTGTTTTTATAGGCCGTGTTCTCTAGAGCTACTAGTAGTGGCAGACTGCCTGCCAAATTAAAATAATTTAGTCAAACTCAAAATTAATGTGTTTAATAAAGTTCTTATTACTGCGTTTCCTGAGCAATAATATAGAGAGTTGTTGGGGGGGGGGGTTAAAAAAAGAAAAGAAAATGTGTCATTATTTTCTGGTGAGGAAATTCCAAATGTGTTCTCTGCAGCCCTCAGCACCTTACTTAGGACTTGTGTTTATATACAGAGGAAGCTCTGAGTGAGAACACTGCTCCATCCATCCCAGCCTTGTCAATAATGACTAGCAGACACTGTCTAGGGTTTCAGGCAAGATTCTTTCCTAGTCTGGGGCAGCTCAAGGACAGGGACAGGGGAAAAAACTCACCCCAGAATTTCACAGCACCATCCTTTTTGCCCTGGTCGTGAGCCATCACTATTCCCAGCACTATTTATATATCCTTGCTACTTCCAGGTGGTCTCCAGTTCATGTACCAAACCAGGTACAGAGCTCATTGACTTCTGAAATTGAGCTAGATCAGGTGTGTTCAGAGTAGTGAAAAATGTCTAAGTTAATCTAAGTCTATGGGATTGGACGAGGTATAACATGTCTTGACTCACTGACACAGAGGAAGCTGTATATGTATGTGACACATTCTGAAAAGCTGTTGAATTGACCACCATAATAGACAGTACAGAAATCTCCAAATATGGATTATTATTAATATTCCTTCCTTATTATTAATATTCCTTTCATTTTTTCCTCAAGGAAAAGGTGACATTGAACCAAAGAATCCAGAAAACAATGCATCACATACATCGTAAGTCCATGTAATATTTGTGGTCGAAAACAGAGGAAGCTAAGTTTCATTTGTAGATTATCTCTATTTTTAAATACTTTTACTATTAAATATGCATTTAATGCTAATTGTTTGCTAATTGGTAAACTTTGAAACCCTTGATTTCTAAAGAGTCTCTATAACAATACTGTACTTTTTTTAAAAAAAAAAGTATGCATGGCACTACTTTATAAAAAATTGAGAAGATTTCCATATGAAAGCTTGGCTTAATGACTGAAAGGTATTATGTCATATCTTTTTGATGTATTTGTGTCATTTTAACAGATTGCTGCTTGTACCAGCTTTGAATTACAAAAATCAAATGATAGCTATCTGTTGCCTCATGCAAATTGTTGATGATTCTGCATTAACAAAAACAGCACAGAAATAGATCAGAAGGTGCATTTCTAATGTGCCGTTTGTATTGACAGAAATATAACAGTGGGACCATTTATCCTTTGTAGTTCAATATACCAAACAAATGCTATTTAAAAACCTTCTATCAAATGGAAAGACTCGGGTTCCAAGAACTGAGTATATCAAAAATATACAAGCACTATTCAGATGCTCACATGGCCAGAATTAGTTCTATTAAAACTTTTTCATCTTTTTGCCTATTTCAAATGGCAGGTTTTAATGTACACACCTGTGAACTTTAGAGTGCATTAACTGGAAGCAGTGTCATGTCAATCTTGTATGGTTCTGCTGTTTGTTCTATGGCCAAGAGCAGTCAGTGAAGAAGCTGCAGTAGCTGTGATTTAGTGTTGCATGTTCTTGATAACATCAGTAATATATTTAAATTGCCTCTCAGACAAATCTAAAAAGGCATTTAACATACCCTAGTGAATATATTGCCTTTCCAGTTTTATTATGGAACATGATGGATAAATAATTGTGGTCATATTTACTGTATGGCCTAGAATAACAGGTTAATCTAAAATATTTAGGTAATTGCTTTGCTCAACAAAATGTATTCCAGTTTTGTAAAGAACTGTGGTTTTAATGTTATCTGGAGATATTATGGAGAACTATGTTTCCTTTTTAACAATATTTTTCCTTTTATGTTTAGTACTTAGCACGACTTTAGACAGTATGAGCTTTTTTGTTGTCTAATCTCAATATTTACTATACTATCAAACTAGTGATAAACTCCCCAGTACTCTAAAGAGAAGTTGAAAAAGGAATTATTTAGGATTATATTAATGTTATCTGGAGATATTATGGAGAACTATGTTTCCTTTTTAACAATATTTTTCCTTTTATGTTTAGTACTTAGCACGACTTTAGACAGTATGAGCTTTTTTGTTGTCTAATCTCAATATTTACTATACTATCAAACTAGTGATAAACTCCCCAGTACTCTAAAGAGAAGTTGAAAAAGGAATTGTTTAGGATTATAGATAGCTTAGTGGTTTAGGTTTCTGGCAGTGGAGCCAGAGGTTGGGAGTTCAATTCCCCACTGTGCCTCCTGTGAATAAAGCCAGCCTGTACAGCTTTGGGCAAGCTGAGGCAAGGAATGGTAAATCACTTCTGAGTATTCTGTACCTGGAAAAGCCTGCAAAGGGTAACCATAAGTCAGAATTGACTTGACACATAGTTATTATTGTTATAGTTCTAGGACTACCCATAGTAGATAGTCACTGTTAAAAGTTACTGTTAAAAAACCCAGCTCTTTACTTTCTCACTTTTGAAAAGCAACTGCACTATTTCCCAAAGAACTGAAATGCTGCAATATGACACAAAGTGCCTTTTTTGCTGTATAGTGAGTCCACAACCCTGTAACTGTAAAAGTTACTAACAAGTTAAAGTAACATTGCAAAAATAATTAAGTTATGATGGCACCACAGTAGTTTTTAAGTTTACAGATCTATGTATTCTCGAAGGCTTTCACAGCCGGGATATGATGGCTGTTGTAGGTTTTTCAGGCTGTCTCGCCATGTTATGAAGGTTTTTCTTCCTAACATCTTATAGATGCCGGCCACAGAGACCAGCAAAACGTTAGTAAGAACAACCTTCATAACACTGCCAAACAGCCAGAAAAACCTAAAACAACCATTTACAGATATACATGTTTACATACGATTTTTAGAAGTTATCTTCCCTATACCAATGATGTCAAATCATTGATCCTATTTGCATCAACAGACTACAGAATAGAAATCACAGGTCCTTCAGCTCATGGCTTTGCAGTGGTGCTAAAACATGAAGATGATCCTCATGGACCCACATGGATTTTCTGCGGGATAACCCTCAAACCACTGTCTATTCATAGACCCTCTTTGTGCCCATAGGCTACAACACAGAAATAATGGATCCTCAAGTGCATAGCTTTGCAGTGTTTCAGAAATGTGCATCCAAAGCATGGATCATCATAGATCCACATGATTTTTACCCAGGAGAGAAGGGCCTTCTGGAAGATCTTAAAATGCAAATGGAGTTGAGTGTCATCAGCACACAGGTGTTACCACACCACAAAATTCTGGACAGCCTCTTTCAGGGTTTTCATGTATATGTGAAATAGTATGGGGAATCATGGTACCCTGAGACACTCCACCAGCTAATGGTCAAGGAGTTGAACAGGAGCCTCCCAGCACTTACCATCCACAAAGTAATACCACATAAGGGAAAAGCCCAGAAGCTGACTCCTTTTTTCATCACTTCACCAGTTCTCACCCAAACACAATGCAATTGTCAGGTCTGCTTTTCAACAAGTGTGAATAGTACAGTAAGCAGAAAAGGATGTCTTGTAGACCATCTTGGCGGCTGCCATTAGTGTTGTCAACATTCAGGCTACCCTTTGCTATATAAAGCTTGGCAACATGGACACAATATTTTGCAGCAACATTGGGCCATTCCCTGGCTCTTTGAATTATGGGTACAGAAGGACAATATCTCACATTCATAAACCAGAGCGGTGTTTTTTTGTTGTTTTTTTTTAAGAATTGAATCTTTTATAACATTCAGTGTTATAAATATGCCATGTTAAAAACATGGAACAAATTATAAGAAACTTGTTATTTGTAATACAAGTAACTTGTTATTTGTAATGGTTCCAGAACTTTTTGCTGGAGCTAAAAAGCAGTGGAATCATTAGCCAAGGAATCCCTATTTCTAGATATCTTTTGAGAGTTATCTATTGATAGATAATATCCATTCATCTAGAGTACTGATTCCCAACCTTGGGTCCCCAGATGTTCTTGGACTAAAACTCCCAGAAGCCTTCATCACTAGCTGTGCTGGTGAGTTCTGGGAATTGTAGTCCAACAACATCTGGGGACCCAAGATTGGGAACCACCACTCTAGAGAAGAAGATACAGTTGCAGGTGCAGAATCCATGATATACATGTTTTCCAGTAGTGGAAACTGCTTCCACCAGTTGAGTTGAAAAGGGAACAATTTGCCTTTTTTCCCTACAACCTTTTGTATGCCATTTAAAACCTGCTTTGGAAGGCCAGGAAATCTCCAGAGCAGGTCTTCTGTGCCCAAGAAAGCCATAACTGGGGAAGGGAAGCATGTCCCAATAGCTACTGCTATTCCACATGATGGAGTTAGGCTTCTGTTCTGTAGCAGGATACTTTAGTACTAATGTTACATGATTTTCAAGATGAAGCATGTAATGGTAGAATAGCCTCATTAATGGTAACTGTTAGACCAAAAAAGTTCAGAACAGAACTTGTTAGGCAACATATACATTTGGGATACAGAATGGATAGATTTAGGTTGTATTAAAATTGGTGCTGCAAAACTTGCATAGAAATTGTGAACCATCTTTCTTTTCTTCTTTTCTTTTCTGGAATTTATTTTGCAACAATATAATTTAAATATGTTGAAAGTATAAAGAAATTATAAATTATTTTCAGAGATTGAATAATTAAATTTTTTAAAAATTGTTTATTTCAAGTAATCCTGGCAAAAATTGACTATAGTTTGTTTTGGCTTTGATAACATGGCAAATAGCAGCTGATAAAAAATGAGGGTAGCAGAAATTCTGAAATCCCTCATCATGGAGGTGAATGGACTTCTATGCCATTGGGAACCTAGAGCCATCTGAGGCTCACTCTGGTAAACTACGTAGAATATGGCTCAAATCTGTCCTTGTGAACAATCTGTTAAATTTAGAAAGGAGAAACACTGCAAGTACATTAACATATTTATTTATTTGTTTGTTTGTTTGTTTGTTTATCTATTTATTTATTTATTTCCTATGATCATTTCAGTGGGGCTTCCTCCATTGCTCTCTTTCAGTTAGGGTTCTGGAAGACGTTGTGCCTGAAAGTACTTGGTGAATAAGTGGTGTGTGATATCCAGTAAACACAGAGGCAGAATTGAAATTCCATTAGCTGGAATCATACCCAGATGTCTCTGTCAAACTGTAGGACTTTTTGCTTCAGTGAAATGACAAGTTAATGAACTGAATTTCATTCATGAATCAATCGGTCTCATCCAAATTGCTGGACCGCCAAGGGGAAGCTACTTGCACCACATCATTCATGAGACCGTTAACCTATTATAGCACTCTCCCTGTGGCTTGGATTGATAAGGAACATGAAAGTTATAGAACGGAAGAGGAAGAGGGAAGTACTGATGTGCACTTTTCACTATATTAACATTCTTTCTTTTTCCCCCATCATCCTTTTTGGGAAAGGATCTGAGACTATTCATTTAAAACATACTGCTTTGAAGACTTCACTACTAAATCAGATTTATAAGGAGCTTTTTTGGGGTTTACTAACAGTGGCTAAAATCAAGTAGTAAGCCACAACAAGAGTAGGCCCATAGAATCAGTGGTGAGTCAACAAGTTCAGTTGATTCAATGACCTTCTCTAGTTGCAACTTATTACTAGATTTAAGCCGTAAAATGGGAATTGATCATATTTCTGAATATAAATGACATATTTACAGTTTCTTACATCTTTTTAAAAAGGTTTTTGGGGGGTCTCATCTCCCCAAAATAAATGTAAAGAATAAGTAAAAAGCACGTA